AAGATTATAATGATAATGGAGGAACACCATTCTTCTGCGGTTCTGGAAAAGCTTATGATTTGATTATCTTTCAGGAATGTTAGCTGGATCAAACAGTACAGTATAAACTGTCATGTTTATGAATGCCAAGTCTTTTCCAAAGTTTTCCTTCTCTAACAATGCAAAATAAAACTGTCCAAAAATGCCTTATGATTATGAATGCCAACTCTTTTCCATCTGTCACTTTCCAACAATAGAAAATAAAACTGTTTTACTTTCAAAAATCTATAGGGGAAAAAGCACTTTATACAATCTGCTGTAATTTGGGATTGTCTTATAAACCATGATACATTCTGCTATGATTTTTGCAAAACTAATACAATCTCTTTCAAACACAGTAATGACAAGCACAGCTCACAGTCTTCCACTGCTATCAACTTCACTACTAAACCCACATATAAAGCATTATAGAAATAATGTAACACTCCCATTCAGACTCAGACAGTCAAACAATGCATCAACTACTGCCCAAATAACTCTTCATAATCAACACTGCATTATTTACTTGTACATTTAATGATCCTAGTTATCCAATAGTGCAATATGAATTAACGAAGCTAATTCTATTTGCCATAAGCCTGGTTTTATTTCTGCATGATGCTAAATAGTTCTTTTATACAAAAAAAAAATTAATTGAGAGCCTTTTGAAATTCAAAAGAGGGCACAAGACACTATGGAGATAATTACAGTTAAGGCAAAAACTGTTTTTCAAAATGTCATACATATTTACTATACTTACCTTAGGACACTTTTAAAGTTTTTTTAAAAAAATATTGAAATGATGACAACTCTTTTCCATCTGTCACTTTCCAACATTAGGACACTTTTAAAGTTTTTTTTTAAAATATTGAAATGATGGGAAATATCATGACTTGAATATGGAATATTTATGAACTACTTTCTGCTATGGAACTGCCAAAAATCTGAGCAGTCACTACCCTTTCTATACAGACAACACAGTACATATGAACACAAACTCTTACAGTAATATAGTTATATAAAATACATTTTATTTTAATGTTGAAATAACATCAACTGTGAGTCCTGATGGCAATTTTAATTGTATTTTAATCATTTTATTTTTTATTGAATTTTAATTGTTGTAAGCCGCCCAGAGACCTTTGGGTAGAGTGGGTGGCATATAAGCTAAACAAACAAACAAACAAACAAATAAATAAATACAATTTGAATGAAAAATCTCCTCCTAGCTGTTTGATAATGGAATAGACTGTCTCAGAAGGTGGCAAACTCTCCTTCGCTTGTGGAGAACTTTCACAAAGGGTGGGTGGTTGTTCTGTCAAGGATGCTTTAGCTGGGGATGTCCAGCATTTCTAGGGAGTTGCCCTTGATTTTTCTTGCTGATTTGCACCTGTGGAAGTCCTGGTGGCAAATTGCTTGGTGGAAAGTGTTGGTGGAAACTTACTGCTCCTTAACAAGGTGCTGGTTATGTTCCTGGGTGCGTGTCCAAAGGAAGAAAGAGGACCTTCTGTTCTGGATAAATAAGGAAGAATAGTACAGTCACCCACTCCAGTATTGCCGAAAGAACTTACCTTTGAGGAACTGTTGCATAAAGGTCAGAATCCCTATGGACTAGCCCCTTCCCCTGTTCTGAATTTGAGTATTGCTGAAATGTTGTAACTTTAAGAGAAAACTGACCTCAGTGATCTTAAGCAACATGTTAAAAAAATAGAAGGGAAGCTTATAATAAGGGAAAGTTGGGTAGTACCTCTTAAGAAGTCATTCTCAAAGGCACTACAGCTGAGTATGGTAGGATTAGAAGTAATTGTGCTATGCAAAACCAACATATTAATAAAAGTTCAAGTATGAATTTTAACCATATTTTCAGATTATAGATGGCGATAAAGTTGAACAGGATAAACAGAGCAAAGTAAGAGGTGAGGAACCCTTGTTGGAAGAAAAGTGAACACATCAGAAAAGATACTGATCAGAGGAAATGAATCCATTCAACCAAATAATACTGACATTGCACAGAAAGGAGATGGTGTTGATGCCTGACAGTAAAGGGGAAGCAATCACAAGATGCTGTGAAGCTCATAAAGCTTGATCTAAAATATATGAGATGCAACTTGAATTTAGGATCTTACGAGAGTGAATCCCTAAATAATGTTATCACTGTCTTGATTCAAAATAGAGACATATTTAGATATAAGAAGGTGAGGAATAGAAAGAGGACTGTTCCAGTCTGGAGTATCTATAGGAATCCTAGTATGATTTTTATTCCCTAATGGCAAGGACAAACTAGGTCTGTGAAGCAGTCAGTAATCAGGATACTGGACAGCCAATAGCTATTGGGAAGGTGACAGATCGAAGTTTTAGAAGTTGGCTGTGGTTTCAAAATGGTTACTGAAGATCATTCAACCTTGGAAATAAGCCTTTAAATTTTCTCCCTTGGAATATAGAAAGAGAGTTGGTCTAACAAGCTGATGGATTGTAGTTTTACAGAGTATATTAGAACAATTCCATATAATCTGTTTCCAAGAAACATTGTCAAGATCAAAAGATGGTCTTTTAAAAGGACCATTTGTGGCCCAGACAGCAAGGAGTGTCTGGCAACAGGTAGCAGCACAACAGCAGCAGCATCCCAGAACAGATTAGAACAACAACAGAACCAGCCTTCACAAGAGCAAACAACAGCTGCAGTATGTGTTTGAACAAGCCTAAATGTGCAAGTAGAAGAATCAGTTACTCTCTATCCTAATTTTCAGGCACTTCACTTATTCAGTTCTACCAGGTTTAACTTACCTTGTATTGTTTATATCTCATCTAAAAGATCTGGGCATTGCTACAAATCCAACACAATGTACAGATGAAGATCCATTAATACCTATTACTGTAATGGGTAATTTTGTCAAGGGTAATTTCCACGCTGAGGCAGAACCAGGTCTATGATAATCAGCAGCCATATTGGACAGGTGGGCAAAATGCTGAGTCATGCAGGATGTGTATTAAAATGAAGTAGGGTCTGGGGTGATGCAATGTCCTTACTGATTGGCTATATGTAAATGCGCATGTGTATAAATCTGCGGACATGGACAGAAGATGTAGGATCTCTTCTGATGAATGTCATGCTGCCGGTTCGTACTGCTAGAACTTCTGTATATATTGTAAATATATGTGGTGTTGGGAAGAAGCTGCCTGTGTATGTGTTATTTAATTGGACTGCCTGGGTTGGCTCAAAACTCTGCTAAATTCTGTACATTTGCTCCAACAAATATACCATAGTTCAAGTTATGCTTTTATCAGAAAGGTGGAAAACTAAATACACAGGTACATCAGTTAATATAAGTCAGTGGTAGCTTTGGATGATTCTAGCAAAATCTAATTTGTCACATTCATATGTTCATTTTTTTTCTCAACAGCCAAAGAGGGACAATGACTTAATTTAAATCTCCTTAAAATACTTCACACAAACCTTTAAATAAAAATGTGTAGAACACAAACAAGTTTAAAAATGAAAAAAAAGCAAAAATAAAAACCCATTCTAGTTCAAAAACTTGAATAAATGATGTGCTCCCTGATTTCCTTTACAATGTAGTGGAATTTCAGGGTTGGAGGCATACCCAAATCAGTACAGATTTCACCACTCTACTAACTTCCTAAAAGGGCTTCAACCACAGCAGTAACAATTTATGTGCCCTGACAAAGTCACTATAGCTCACCTGCCTCTGGCAATGCTGGTTTCCTTCTAGGACTCCTCCTTGTCTGGTCTATTTATGACTTCTGGGTTCTTCCCAAAATTCCATTTCTCTCTAAAGTCCTTACCAGCAGTGGCTGGTTTTTAAACAATGGGAGAGGACCATAGAGGAGACTTCTCCTCTCAAGTCTACCCATGGAAGCCTCATCCTGCTCCCCAAATCCAATCTGCAACCTGCTTGCTGGGATTAATCACTTTACATGGATTAATCTCATTAGAAAACTGGCTGCCCCCTTCTCCTCACTTTGCTCTGGTTATAAGCAAGCTATTTGGTGAGCAGATAATATACCTGTCTTGCCACATCCATCTCTTTCAAGCTATTCATAATGTAAGGACAAAATTATCTCTGGATATGTTTGGAGCAGTCTTCTATCACAACTCAGCCTATAACGTTGATTTCAACATATCTGTTTAGGAATCAGGGTTTTCAAGATAGCATTTCTAACTTAAACAAAACTTTAGTCATGATCTCTACAGTTTTACAAATGAAGGAGCATACTAAGCACTACATGAAGTGAGTAAATAAAACAGCCTTTCAGACTTTTCTGTTATCTAAACAGCAGCTTCAGAGGGGTATGAACAGCCTTGCAAATGGTGTAGGGAAAACATGGTATATTCTTTCCCTCTTTCTTTCTCACCCTTCCATAGTTCAAATAAAAATTGTATCTCTGAACTTGTTTGCATTTCAAAGGAATTTCCACTGGTGTCAGTGGAAATTTCCCTTGAAATGGCAATAGCAGCTTCAGAGAGGCATTTTTTTCCTTAAATCCCAGCCTCCAAGGTCCTATAGTTCTACTCTGGGTGATCCTTGAGTAATGAATACGTGCATCATAACACCAACCATGCACTTGGGACAATACCCAGTTTGGCCACTGGAACCCAATTAGTCTCCCATTCGCTCCTAATCATTTCATGAAGATTTTACATGAGATTATATTTTCTTGCACAATGTACTATTGTTCCAATGTTTATTGTTTCCAGGTGAATGGACAAAGCCACATCAGTACTGTGTAAACAATTCCACTGAGCTATTCTGACTTTCCTTATACTTTATTAAACAAGAATACTGAAGGCACCTTGGTTAACCCAGACTGTTCCTTTGATATACAATAGTAACTTATGAAGCCTGTCATCTGTTTTGTGTGACTTTATGTCAATTCAATATCACTGGCTACCCAGGGGAAGCTTCTAAGAACGTAACCATCAAGAGATTCAATTCTTCATGTCATGTCATTATTTTACTTACTCCTGTCTTCTCATCAAAGATTTTGATTCCTCCAAAAGAGACGGTGAGAAATATTTTCTGCTTGTGTTCTCCTTTGGAACGAGCAGAGGCAACTATTCCCTGTTGGGAGAAAGCAAACGGTTCAGATTCAAAGGCATTCTACTTTCTGTTTTGTCTGAGCGTCCTCACAAATTAAGGGAATACATCTTACAGCCCTCCCTATGTCACTGGCTACCAGTCTGTTTCCAGGCACAATTCAGACCACTGGTTATAAAGTGCTATGTGACTGAATGCAAGCGACCTGAATTGTCTTATGTGACATTTCTAATAGGGGTGCAAGAAACAACTTTCATGGTGGCCATCCCCAGGGTCTGGAACCCCCTTACTAAGGGGAAGTAGGCTGTCTTCCTCTTGTCTTTCCACTGACAAAAGACCTGAAACTAGAGCATGAGTGCAGCCCACCCAGCAGTTCTTCATTCAGAGACTGCCTACTGTGAGTTACCACAGGAGACAAGGGCCAAGCTTTTGACAGTGTACTGAGAGTGCAGTTATGCGATTCACTGCATAGGGCAACGATGAGCGTCACCGGTCAGAATCTTTATAGTCCAAATTCTGTAAAGGAAGTAGTAGTTGTCAATTTAGCTCCTATCAAACCTCACATAAAATTTAGAGTTATAACCGTGGGGGGTGGGGAGGGAGGCTGGTAACTGGGAAGAGATCTTGTGAATCTAAGGTGCTTAAAACAAGGAAACTGAAAATGTGATGGGCTATAAAAGGCAAACCTGAGGTAAGAATATCTGTAGACTTGGGGAAAAAATGAACAGAAGAGAAACAGAGTTTGAGCAATTCCTGTGAATGGCTTTTTGCAACAAAATCATACAGGTATGTACCATACTGTCTGCATACTTTACTTCTACTTGCCCATTTATTCTACATTTTATTTTTACTTGTTTATACCTACTAAATTAGATTTAGAAGAAGGAAGCCTTTGCATAGATATTCCACACATTTTCTATATGCATTGTGCTTGGGTACCATGGAAACAGTTATTTGGAGTTCCTACTTTCAGTGACACCTTGCAACAGGAAAACAAGCTATTTCGATATACAGTTTTTATTTGAATTCATCAATATTTTTGTTGCCTGTCCAAGGAAATAACATTTTCAGACTGTGCTGTGCTCAGTTTAGAAATTACTACTCCCAGAACTGTGGTTAGGAGGAGTTGTCCAAACCATTGCCGTAAATTAAGATGTTTTAGATATTCAGTTAGTTGCACACCTTGCTCCCAGGTGTGCAAAGTGTCCCAGGACATTCATGTTATGCATACATTATTTTTCAGCTCAAGACAATAGAGAAATCTTTGCTCCATTTCACTTTATACCCTTCATCCTCTATCCTCCTCATTTCTCACTGCTTCTTCCTTTCCTTCTCTGGTGGTTGCAGGCCCTTAGTGTCTCCTATTCTTCCTCTTAATAAAATTCCTCTTCTCTATTCTGCCAAACAGCTCTGAATGGCAAAAAGCTCAGGCTGAGACATAGTGACTGGCCCAAGGTCCTCCATGTGATGAGCAGGGATCAGAAAGCAGGTCTTCCTGACAAAAGGCTCAACAGTCTAACCACTTCACTAATCATGGAAGCAGCTGCCTTCTGGACATTTGTTGTGGGAGATCACAAATTTTCATAGAATAAAAGATGTTATGTTGTACATATATCATGCAACCATCATTCATTATGCATTGCTATAGAGATAGAAAGAAAAAAAAAACAAGCAAGAAATGTCCCAATAAAAGAGGAAATGCTCTACATATTCCCCAAAGATGAGGCTCACCATTAAGTCAATTTTTGAACTCCAAGGATTTTTCTTCTTCTTTTCCATTGCCACTGCCAACAGCAACAATGGCAACTGTTTTGTCAGCCTGGTCACCATTTTACTTCTGTCTTGTGTTGTTGAAAAGCGTTGTAATGATAGGTAGCAATGAGCCAGTGGCCATTAAAAAGGTTGGGTAATTTTAGGGGGGAAATGCAAGGTAGTATGCTTTCTCTCAGAGACTGAGAATATGAAACATCTTCGAATGTTTCTCAGAAAAATATCTTCGAATAAGGTTTGGCTTAGCACTAGGTGTCATTCTTCAAGGTTTCGCACCTTCCATTACACTTTGAAGAAGAAACTGATTTTTGCCTATACTGCAGAAGATGCTTATAATTCTGCTCCTTCTTCGTAATGCATCAGGGACTGCATTGTTGTGCTGAGGTCTAGGCAAAAGTTATTCTAGTGGTGCATCGCAATGGATCCTCCAATATCCTGCAGGTTTTATTTACCTATGAAAAGAGTTTCCATTTATCTCTCCTATTCTCAGGGCCCATTGGAGATGGTTTGTTCTTTTTCCCCTTTCCATGTTATTTTTTTTTAGATTTCCATAATATTAGAACTTGACCCACATTACTGCATGTGCTTTTTCTTATATTACAAATCTCTTCAGAGTGGATAGAAATAAAAAAATTAATTTTTTTTAAATTTGCAATTAAATTTCAAATGTTAAACTGCCTTTTTTGGGCGAAATCCTACATGATAATAGTTTTGATTTAGAATGTGTTAAAACTAAAATACCTTATTATAAAGGGGGGATTATGTTACAATGCAACATTCTTGGACAATGTATTAATTTTAAAATAATTTTTGTAAATAAGATTTAAAAGTTCTTGGACTGGGGCATCAATTTTTGGGGGGTTCCACAGACTTCTGTAATGTTTATTAAGATTAATCTGTCTCCTCAACTAGTTAGCCTACTACTCAGTTTAGAAGCCACCCACAGAAAAATCTCAGATTGGTTTTTTGTTTACAGATGCACATACTTCTTAACAGCAATCTATGGAGATGAGAAATTACAGACTTGATCTGCAATACAGTGGTGCCTCGCAAGACGATTGCTTTGCATGACGACGAATTCGCTTTACGATGAGGTTTTCGGCACGATCACGCTTCATTTAACGATGTTTCCTATGGGCGATTTTCACTTTACGATGTTAGGGACCTTGCCTCGCAAGACGATTAAAGTTTAGGTCCCTGTTTTTTGCTTTACAATATTTTTGACAGCTTGGTCTTGCTTAACTATATGAGTCTTTTAATGGTCTCTGTTTCATTAGACGGCTGTCTTCGCTTGGGAATCGCGTTTCACTTAACAATGTTTCCTATGGGAATTTTCACTTTATGATGACAATCCAGGTTTCAATGCATTTCAATGGGAAAACGTGTTTCGCAAGACGATGTTTTTGCTTAACAGCGATTTTCACGGAACGAATTAACATCGTCTTGCGAGGCACCACTGTATTTTTCTAGTCTGACTGAACGTAGCTTTCTTCCCCCTCGTAATGCTCAAAATTCTTGAAATCCTTATTAAAATTTCCATGATTGCTTTCAATAGATCTCTTGAGTAATGCTGATTCATTTGAAATGGCAATACTAGCTATTGTTACTGTACAACAGACCTGGGCAAAGTGCGGCCTGCAGGCCACATACGGTCCGCAAGCCCCTCCTGTCTGGCCCGTGGACAGTTTTGAACATCAAAATCATTTATAGCTTTTTGTCTAAAGTTGATCAGTTGTTTATCTTTAATATACCGCAAAAAAACCTCTTTAGTATTTGTGAAGATTAACAAGTTTAAAATAAAAACAATCATAACATCACTGTTTCATTTTATTTTTAAGTAAAGTTGGTTCAGCTCCCGAACCAACTGTTCAGATTTTTCATGTGTCCCCCAATAGAAATTAATTGCCCACCCCTGCTCTACAACTTTTTGTAGACAAAGTCAGGCCTTTAACTCTCTCCCTGGAAGTGCTGATGGATTATTGTAGTAAGGCCATAGCAATCAAGGGTGTACTCACATGATTAGACCAAGTTTTTCTAAACAGTGATATAAAATCATTATTTCACTCTATCTCACTTAAATTAACTGTTCATTGTTCTACAGACTCTCTGGCTACCCGCACGTTCTGAAGAACAACAACAACAAGAGTGGGAGTAGATAACATTAAGGTGTCTTCCCCTGAGCTTTAACTGATGCATGAGAATTTGAGGTCAGTCTCCAGATGCCACAGAGAGAATTGAATAATAATAGTATAAAGAAAGATTCATGGTTGCAATTCATGGAAACTCTTACAGAATTATTATTTTTTGCTCACCACTACAATTATCTAAAGTCTTCTTCATCCAATATCTAAACTATTCTCTGCCCATCAGTTGAAATCTAATGCAGTCCTGTGAGATGATGCAAACTTATTAAAGGAAGTCAGAGATTTGTCAAAATGTAAGTGATCAAGTTGTTCTTTGAAATATTTATCTCAGGTTCTATAACCCACATATGGATGACTAGAGAAGGCTACCAAATCGATATGCCACAGTAGGTAAAGCTTCAAAAGAAGGATATGAATATTAACAAAGAAATAAGTAGTATCAAAGTCCATATTTAAAACCTACAGAGTAGCAGCAAGCAACAATTAGAATTTGTGACACCACCTCCTTCTGCTGGTTCTATTAACCTCATAACATTAAACGGGTAAGTCTCTCAATTATGCTAGAAAGAATTAAACATCTTCAAGGAGATATGGAAATTGAGACCCTTTGGGAGAGAGACAAAGAGGCCTGCCTAGCCTTGTTCACATTCCTAAGCCTCCCAAACCACTTGTTGGCAGATGGAAGCAAGGAATGAATGAGAAAGAAACTATACACAGAGGAATCTTATGGTTTTACCATGCACCTGCTGCCCAAGAGACAATTACACCCTGCCTTTTAAAACCAAATTACTAAATACTCTAAATCTCTCATTACTTTTTTGTACAGGGCACTGAAAATGTTGCTGAAGCACAACACTTGCTTGCTCTACTCAACTGAATGTTGATACTGATATGCCCTCCTCCCCTTTATGTAAGTGGCAGACACACTAGGAGAAGGATGGAGGATACAACATATGGTAGTATTACTATGCAGCAATTAAAAATGATGGCTCACATTAGAATTCAAGACTGGAACACACCAACACCTACCATTTGCATTATGCATTTGCTGCTTCATCATCCAGGAATGTGCATCCTAATCCAAACTACTAATTCTCCATTTTTATCTTC